TTAATCATACTGTACTAAACAGAAACAGATTATAATTTAAGTAAATTGCTACAGATCAGTACAAAATGTTCTCATATTTATTGTTGTATTATATTTATTTACTTTTTATCTATTCTAAATTGTTTGGTGTTTGTTGCTGGTGCCAGTTGGTGGTGGTCAACTTTCTGTTAATTTGATTGGGATGTGGGATTTTTTCCTTCTTTTTTGATAATTGTTCTGTCAAAATCGCTGTACAGCGAAATCACCATCATGCGGGAAAAAACCCCATTGGAATGCATTGAAAACCGGTTAATCATTCCAATGGGGAAATGCCTCATCGTTCAGCGAAGATCGCCCATAGAGAACCACCAATCAGCTGTTTGGAATTGCTGTTTTGCGAAGTTTCTCTCTGGAAAACAGCCATTTTGCGAAGGGAGGGAAGCCATTTTGCGAAGGGAAGCCATTTTGCGAACAAATGGTTCGCGAAGCAGGGACCTAATCAACGTAAAGCAAAAAAAAAAGCCATTGGAACCATCGTTCTGCAATTGCTATTGCGATAGCAAAAAAAGTCTTTGTCAAGCGATTTCGTCATCATGCGGGGTCGTCATCGTGCGGGCCACCACTGTACCTATATTTTGTAAACCACCCCAACGAGTGATTTCACTAAATCAGGTGGTCCATAAATAAACAAATATAAATAAATACAAAATTGTATTTGTATTTGTTTTCACAAAACAGAAAAAAGAGGGAAAGATGCATAGTCTGCAATACCTGCTTGCTTCCATATAAACATGAGTAATGTCTCCTTTTCTTTAAGATCTCACCTTTCTGAATTTCTTCAGATACTGTATCTTTGTTTTAAAGGTTTTAGAAAATGTGTTGGAAAAAGTGTATTTCAAACTGCAACATTTGGAAAATAAACCAGTAGAGTGTTCCATGCTTTTCAGTACATGCCATGTACAGTGGTGCCTTGACTTACGAACACCCCGATGTACGAACATTTTGACTTATGAACAGCTCCATTCGCAAAATTTTGCTTTGATTCGCTAACAGATCTTTGGCTTACGAACAAAAAAATGCAGGGAAAGTGGGAAATGGACTTTTTACTGCCTGGTACTGTAATTTTAAAATGTAAAAATTGGTTTAAAAGGTGCTTGGTTTGGTTTAAAGCCGCTTGGTTTTAAAGGTATTCTGTTTAAAACGTGTTTGTTCCATCCCTCCATCCTTTCCTGCCCTTTTTTTTAACCTAAGTCATCTTAGGTTAAAAAAATTTCTCCCCCTAGTGGTAGAGGACAGATTAACCGGTTTTGCATTTGTTCCTATGGGAACTAATGCTTTGACTTACAAACGGTGCCTCTACATATGAACAAAAAACAGCCGGAACAGATTAATCGGGGTTTCAGTGCATTCCTATGGGAAATGCTGATTTGACTTACGAACGTTTTGACTTATGAGCATCTTCTGGGACAGATTAAGTTTGTAAGTCAAGGCACCACTGTAATAGTGTACCTTTTAATTTTCATGATATATATGACCATTTGTAATGCATTATTATGGAAACTTGGTCAAAATATGTTTGACTTTTGTAAGAGTTTTGAACTGATGGGTTATTTTTAATGAGACTAATTATAAAATATTTGAGGGACTCTGGATGTAATACAGTGGTGCCTCGACTTATGAACGTCCCAACTTAACGACCATTTCGAGTTGCGAGCAGCTCCAGCTGCAAAATTTTGCTTCGACTTGCAGCCAGAACTTTGAGTTGTGACAGGAAAAAGGCAGGGGGAAAAGGCGGGGAATTCAGATTTGCTAACCATTGGTAGGCGAAGAGGCTGCTTCTTTGTAGCTCTTTTGCCCCAACAGTTAGAGTGAGTGGTCAGAGGAGGCTTTGGACTGCCTGGTGCTGCTTTCTGCTCCTGAGCAAGTACATTTTCTTTGTTTTGCAGGGTGGTTTGGGTTTGGGGGGCGGGTTATGTTTCTGTACTGTGGTGTTTTTTTGTGGTTTGGGGGCGTGTTTTTCGGGCTGGTTGTGTAGGGGGGTTGTGTTTTTCCCCCAGCCCCATGGTGTTCCTCTGGAGCTGGCTGTGGGGGGGGTTGTGTTTTCCCCCAGCCCCA